TGTCAGTTGTATTCCTAGCTATTTTATTCTCTTTGTAGCAATTGTGAATGGTAGTTTGTTCCTGATGTGGCTCTCTTTAAGCCTGTTATTTGTGTATAGGAATGCTTGTGATTTTTGCACATTGATTTTGTATCCTGAGACTTTGCTGAAGTTGCTTATCAGTTTCAGGAGATTTTGGGCTGAGATGATGGGATCCTCTGGATACACAATCATGTCATCTGCAAATAGAGACAATTTGACTTCCTCCTTTCCTATTTGAATAGAATTCATTTCTTTTTTTTTGCCTGATTGCTCTGGCTATAGCTTCCCAGTACTATATTGAATAGGAGTGATGAGAAAGGGCATCTGTGTCTAGTGCCAGATTTCAAAGGGAATGCTTCCAGTTTTTGCCCATTCAGTATGATATTGGCTGTGGGCTAGTCGTAAATAACTTTTATTGTTTTGAGATACGTTCCATCAATACCTAGTTTATTGGGGTTTTTAGCATAAAGGGCTGATGAATTTTGTCAAAGGCCTTCTCTGCATCAATTGAGATAATCATGTGGTTTTTGTCTTTGGTTCTGTTTATGTGGTGAATTACATTATAGACTTGCGTATGTTGAACCAGCCTTGCATCCCTGGGATGAAGCTTACTTGATCGTGGTGGATAATCTTTTTGATGTGCTGTTGCAATCGGCTTGCCAGTATTTTATTGAAGATTTTTACATCTATGTTCATTATGGATATTGGCCTGTAGTTTTCTTTTCTTGTTGAGTCTCTGCCAGGTTTTGGTATCAGGATGATGTTTGTCTCATAGAATGGTTTGGGAAAGATTCCTTCTTTTTGTATTATTTGGAATAGTTTCAGAAGGAATGGTACCAGCTCCTCTTTGTATGTCGCATAGAATTCGGCTTTGAATCCATCTGGACCAGGGTTTTTTTTGGGTGGTAGGCTCTTAATTGCTGCCTCAACTTCAGACCTTGCTATTGGTCTATTCAGGGTTTTGACTTCTTCCTGGTTTAGGCTTGGGAGGAGGCAAGTTTCCAGGAATTTATCCATTTCTTCCAGGTTTCCTAGTTTATGTGCATAGAGTTGTTTGTAGTAATCTCTGATGATGGTTTGAATTTCTGTGGAATCTGTGGTGATGTCCCCTTTATCATTTTTTATTGCATCTATTTGGTTATTCTCTCTTTTCTTTTTTATTAATATGGCTAGTCATCTATCTATTTTGTTGATCTTTCCAAAAAACCAGCTCCTGGATTTATTGATTTTTTGAAGGGTTTTTTGTTTCTCTATCTCTTTTAGTTCTGTTCTGATCTAAGTTATTTTTTGTCTTCTGCTAGGTTTTGAGTTTTTTTGATCTTGCTCCTCTAGCTCTTTCAATTTTGATTCTAGGGTGTCAAGTTTAGATCTCTCCTTGTTTCTCATGTGGGCACTCATTGCTGTATATTTTCCTCTAGAGACAGCTTTAAATGTGTCCCAGAGATTCTGGTACTTTGGGTCTTCCTTCTCGTTGGTTTCGAAGAACATCTTTATTTCTGCCTTCATTTCATTGTTTATTCAGTCAACATTCAAGGGCCAGTTGTTCAGTTTCCATGAAGCTTTGCGGTTTTGAGTTAGTCTCTGCATTCTGAGTTCTAACTCGTTTGCACTGTGGTCTGAGAAACTGTTTGTTATGATTTTCGTTCTTTTGCATTTACTGAGGAGTGATTTACTCTCAATTATGTGGTCAATTTTAGAGTAGGTGTGATGTGGTGCTGAGAACAATGTCTATTCTGTGGATTTGGGGTGGAGAGTTCTGTAAATGTCTATTAGGCTTGCTTGGTCCAGGTCTGAGTTCAAGTCCTGGATATCCTTTTAAATTTTCTGTCTGGTTGATCTTTCTAATATTGACAATGGGGTCTTAAAGCCTCCCACTATTATTGTGTGGGAGTCTAAGAATCTTTGTAAGTCATTAAGAACTTGCCTTATGTATCTGGGTGCTCCTGTATTGGGTGCGTATATATTTAGGATCGTTAGCTTTTCTTGTTGCATTGATCCTTTTACCATTATGTAATGTCCTTCTTTGTCTCTTTTGATCTTTGTTGCTTTGAAGTCCATTTTATTGGAGATGAGAATTGCAACTCCTCCTTTCTTTTTTTGTTTTTTTTTTTGCTCCCCATTTGCTTGGTAAATCTTCCTCCATCCCTTTATTTTGAGCCTTTGTGTATCCTTGCATGTGAGTTGGGTTTTCTGGATACAGCACACCAATGGGTTTTGGCTTTTTATCCAATTTGCCAGTCTGTGTCTTTTGGTGCCTGGGGGCTGCCTGGTGTCTGTGTCTTTTGATTGGGTATTTAGTCCATTTACATTTAGAGTTAATATTGTAATCTGTGAATTTGATGCTGCCATTTTGATGCTAGCTGGCTGCTTTGCCCATTAGTTGATGCAGATTCTTGATTGTGTTGATGCTCTTTACCATTTGTTATGTTTTTGGTGTGGCTGGTACTGATTGTTTCTTTCTATGTGTAGAGCCTCTTTCAGGAGCTCTTGTAATGCAGGTCTGGTGGTGAAAAAAATCTCTGAGTACTTGCTTATTCGCTAAGGATTTTACTTTTCCTTCACTTATGAAGCTTAGTTTGGCTGGATATGTAATTCTGGGTTGAAAGTTCTTTTCTTTAAGGATGTTGAATATTGCCCCCCCCCCACCACTCTCTTCTGGCTTGTAGGGTTTCTGCTGAGAGATCTGCTGTGAGTCTGATGGGCTTCCCTTTGAGGGTAACCCGACCTCTCTCTGGCTGCCCTTAGCATATTCTCCTTCATTTCAACCCTGGTGAGTCTGACAATTATGTGCCTTGGGGTTGCTCTTCTTGAGGAATATCTTTGTGGTGTTCTCTGTATTTCCTGGAATTGAATATTGGAACTTCCCCGATAATATCCTGAAGAGTATTTTCCAGCTTGGATTCATTCTCTTCTTCACATTCAGGTACACCTATCAGACGTAGATTAGGTCTTTTCACATAGTCCCACATTTCTTGGAGACTTTGTTCATTCCTTTTTACCCTTTTTTTCTCTAATCATGCCTTCTCTTTTTCTTTCATTGAGTTGATCTTCAACCTCTGATATCCTTTCTTCTGCTCGGTCAATTCGGCTGTTGAAACTTGTGCATGCTTCACGAAGTTCTCATGTTGTGTTTTTCAGCTCCATTAATTCACTTATATTCCTTTCTAAGTTGTCCATTCTCATTAGCATTTTGTCAAATCTTTTTTCAAGGTTCTTAGTTTCTTTGCATTGGGTTACAACATGTTCTTTTAGCTCTCAGAAGTTTCTTACTACCCACCTTCTGAAGCCAGATTCTGTCATTTCATCACTTTCATTCTCAATCCAGCCTTGTTCTTTTTGTTCCCTTGCTGGTGAGGAGTTGTGATCCCTTGTAGGAGGAGAGGTGTTCTGGTTTCGGGTGTTTTCATCTTTTTGTACTGGTTTCTTCTCATCTTTATGGATTTATCTACCTGTCGTCTTTTTAGTTGCTTACTTTCAGATTGGGTCTCTAAGTGGATGTTCTGTTTGTTGATGGTGAAGTTATTTCTGTTTCTTAGTTTTCCTTTTAACAGCCTGGCCCCTCTGCTGTAGAACTGCTGAGGTCCACTCCAGGCCCTTCTTGCCTAGGGATCGCCTGCAGCAGCTGCAGAACACTAAGGGTTGCTATGAGTTCCTTCTTCTGCTATCTTTGACCCTGAAGGATACCCTCCAAATGTTAGTCTGTTATCTCCTTTATGAGGTGACTCTTTGGATATACAGGAGTCAGGGAGTTGCTTGAGGAGACACTCTGTCTTTTATAGGAGCTCAAGTGCTGAGCTGTGAGCTCTGTTGTTCATTCAGAGCTGCTGGGCAGGTACGTTTAAGTCTGCTGCAGCAGAACTCATAAACCTCTTTTTGTTCCCAGGTGCTCTGTCCCAGGGGTTAGGGCTTTATTTATGAGTTTCCATTGTGCTGCTGCCTTTTTTTTTTCAGGGCTGCCCTGCCCAGCAAGGAGGCAGCCTAATCACTGTTTGCCTGCAGAGGCTTGGCTGAGCTGCTGTGGGCTCTTTCCAGCTGCTGTGTGAACTTCCCTGCAGTCCTGTTTATATGGGTGTAGTTAGAACTGCCTCGGCAATGGTGGCCCACCTCTGTATTGGCGGACTCTCTCTGTAATGGCAGGTTGCCTTGGCAACAGCGGGTTGCCTTGGCAACAGCAGGCAGCCTCAGCAATGGCGGGTTGCCTTGGCAATGGCAGGCTGCCTGAGGAATGGCGGACTACCTCCTAGTGGTGGAGTGCCTCAGTAACGGCAGACACCCCTCCCCCACAGAGCTGGACCATCCCAGGTTCAGCTGCGCTTGCTGTGAAACTCTCAATCCAGAGAGTTTCTGAGTGCTGTTCTTTTGTGGATGTGGGGCCAGCCGAGCCTGATCACCTATTTCCCTGCCTCAGAGCCTTTTTTTTCTTTTTTAGTTGAACAGTCGACTCTATCCCAGGTGTTCCAGTCGCCTGTTAAAAATCGCCAGGATCTGTGTGATTTCCCCTGCGGTGACTCACTGCACCAGCTTAAACAGTGGCGCTGAGATTCGGGGCGCTTTCTTTGCCCAGGAATCTCCTGGCCTGGCTCCCTGTTCAGTCCCCTCTTTAATCAGATGAATAGGAAATTTCCCAGTGCTCCAATCGCCAGCCAGAAGGGCCCCCAGACCAGTGTATTTTGTATGGAGAACCGCCAGCCTGGGTGCCGACAAAGCAGCTGTGCAGGGCAAAGCAGCAGCACCGACCAAACGAACTGTGCTGGCCAAAACAGCTGTGCTGGTGACCCATGTGGCTCCTCCACCTGGGAATCTTCTGATTCGTGGGCAATAAAATGCGGTGTCCACTCACCCTCTGCACTTTCACTAGGAGCTGCAACTCCGAGCTGTTCCTAAATGGCCATCTTGGATCTTCCTCCTTTGGCTATTTTTTTTAAAGAAAAATTCATAAATGACTCCAGTCATCCAAAATATAATGGAATTTAAACTACAGTAAAACTATAGGTAAATTCAAAAGTTATTTGAAATGTATCCTAGGGCTATTAAGCTTGAGTTAGAAATAACCTCAGTGGCAAGAATCAGATGAACAGGAGTGTGTACCAGATGTCTTTGTAATGTCACCTAGAAAATTGGTTATGTGATGAATTTAAGAAAGGCCAAAGAAATTCATATCACATCTGACTAAGGTTAAGAAAATGAACTCTCCCACACAACTTATTTGCAATGATTGTTGAATTTTGTCTGTATCTATTACTTAGCTTTTTACTTCCTACATCTTCCTTACCACCCCACTCGGAAAACACAATTGCTAAATCCTTCTTCATTTTGGGAAAATCACAACTCCACAATAGGTCTAGAGTATCATATCCTCATTATTTTAAATATTAATAGTTTAGTCTTCTTCACAAATGAATAAATTTTTTAAATGCAAATGTTTGATAAAAATTCTAAGTAGCTGATTTTCTGGTTATAATTTTTTAGAAGCAAGTATAATGAAAACAGACATAAATGTTTTTTAAGTATGCAAATGTTTTTAAGTATGCAAAAGAGATAAAACAAAAATATTACAGTAGAGTCATCATTAGTATATCCACAAATGCCTATCTTTTAAAAATGTATTTATACTAGAGAAATGTAAATTCATAAACAACATCAATAGAACATAGTATGAGGGCAGAGTGTATTATATCATTCCAATATAATTTAATATCAAACCAGAAATTTTTGTTTACTCCACAAGACATTAAGTTGTAACTTCAGAGTGAAATATAACTTCCACATGCAGTGACATTAATAGTATGGAATGTGAATGTAAATAAATTACCCACTAAAACTGCTCTGAGCCCTATCTGTAGCCTTTGTTTTATGCCTCATGTACTTTAGTAAGCTTAAAAATGTTTTTGACTGATTAATCACTAGGCTATAACCCAATAGGAAGGGGCACAGTCATTAAACATCACTTGATACGATTAGTGGAAACTCTTTTTCTCCATGGCTTTCCACCATAAAAATCTGTTTTTCTTTATTTTCATTTAAATTCCAGCTTTTATTTTGATAGAGTGGGTACATATGCACGATTGTTAAATGGGTATATTGCACTCAAGTTGTGAGCATAGAACTTAATAGGTAGTTTTTCAAACCCTCTTCCCTCCTCCTTCTAGTAGTCAGCAGTTTCTATTATTCTCATGTTTATGTCCATATGTACTCAATGTTTAACTCCCACTTGTAAGTGAGAACATGTGGTATTTGGATTTCTATTCCTATGTTGATTTCCTTAGGATTATGTCCTGCATATCCATCCATGTTGCTACAAAGGACATGATTTCATTCTTTTTATGGCTGCATAGTATTCCATGGTTTATATGTACCCCAGTTTATTTATTCAGTCCACCATTGATGTACACGTAGGTTGAGTCTATGTTTATTTTTTCTATTGCAAATATGACAGTGATGAATACATGAGTGCATTTGTCTTTCTGGTATAATTATGTATTTTCCTTTGGTTATATGCCCACTAATGGGATCGCTGGATCAAATGGTAACAGTTTTAAGGTCTTTGAGAAATCTCCAAACTGCTTTCCACCATGGCTGAACTAGTTTACATTAACAATAAGAGTGTACAAACATTCCCTTTTCTTCATAGCCTCACTAAAATGTGTTGTTTTTTGACTTTCTGGTAATAGCCATTTTGATTGGTGTGAGACAGTATCTCATTGCAGTTTTCGTTTGCATTTCTCTGATGATTAGAGATTATTCATTGTCCCACTCCTCCTTTTGCTTCTTTTCTCTTCTCTATTTTATACTTTTTCTTCTTCTCCTCCTTATCTTGGATGTCAGTATTTTTCAAACTCTCATTTGCAGCCAATTAGTAAGTCATTGTTGTCTTCAAGGCTTCTGGACCCTGGTATATGCACATCTTTCCCATGTTATTAACAAAAATACTAATTTAAATACTGCAGTGAAGGAAGCTGGCAGCTGGTTTAGCCTGACCTAATCAGGTGAGCCCAGTTAAGCTTTGCCTGGTGAAAACATTCAAATCTAGAGATACTTTCCTGCAGATTTTGAAAGAGAAAATATCCATTGTTTTTTGGATAGAGAGGGCTATCTGTCAAAGAACAGTGGATGATCTCAGGAGCAAATAACAGACGCCAGGTAGCTGACAGCTAGCATGAAACAAAAACCTCAATTATACAACCACAATGAACAAAATTCTGCATACAAAGAAAAACCAATGCATTTGAAAGAGGACTCTGAGCCTCAGATAAGATCATAGCCTTTGCTGATACCTTGATTTTCCACCTCATGACAAAGCAGAACTTGTAAAAAATGAACTTGGCTATTTAGTTGAGAATGTTTCCATAAAAATTGTTGAAGGTATGGCCTGATTTCTTCTTGCTGCTTCTAGGAAAACACATGAGAAATAAGTTAAGGGAAGAATTGTTGAATACTGATAAAAATAAACAAAGACATGTACTAGTTAACATGATACAAACAGATTTAATCACTAATAACTATTGCAATAGGAAAAAGAGTTCAGTGTGAACTAAACTCAACTTCTACTTGTACTAAAGTGACAAGAATTTTAAAGGGAGAATGAGGGAACAGGGAGTGGGGCAAGCGGGGGTATAGAGGAGTCTTAAAAATAAAAAAAAAAAAACTACAAAACATAGGATCATTGGATTTGTCTATGTGAAACCCATTTGGTTTGCTATGTTCCCTATACAAACTGAGTTTAAGGTGTTGGCTGGAATAAATAGTAAACTCTTTGGAGCCTCCACTTTTTTCAGGCAGGTGCTTTGAGGGAACTTGGGGTCAAAAGATGCAATGTTAAGCTATTAGAAACTGTTAGTATTCAGAGTTTTTATAGGCCAAGGTGGAGGCCTAGTTGAGAAAAGGGCTTAGAAGAGCCTAGCTAATTTGGTCAAAAGAAGAACATTTGTCAACACAAAGAAACAAGAACCAATGATTTTGAAAATTCTTAGCCTCTCCAGATGGAAAACAAAACACTAAAATTAAGAGTTTGTTTCCCAAAGTGTATCATAGAGGAAAAGCTGAGGATGTGGTTGTACAAACTTCCTGAAAGCTCAGAAGGATAAAGCTATAAGTGTGTTCAGTAACACAAAAGGCTCCTTCAGGAAATAAAAAGTGTACCTCACAGGTCTTTTCAACAAAACCAGAGAGTCTCTCAGAAGCTTAAGGGTGCTGTTCTTGAGCTGTCCTTGAGTCTCAGCAGAGGTCAAAGATAGAGAAGGTGTTATATCAACAACAATTGTGGGTGTGGCTTTTTCTAATTGAGTGAATACCAGTGAAATCTATAAAGACACATAAGGTTATTTAGAAGAGACATTGTACTTGAGCTGATGAGATTTAGATAAAATATTTATTTAAGTGTAATGAAATTAAGCTTTTGGGATACTAGAATTAGACGAATGTATTTTATAATATGGGGGTTGCATCAGACAAAATTCTATGATGACTTCCAATATCCCTGGCCTCTTGTTTACAAGCCCTGCATAATTTCAGAGACAGTGACTATAATAGATTTTACTCTCATTATTAGTTTATGTAATAAAGCACAGGTAACTTTAAGAAAGAAAGAGTATCTAGGACAAGCCTGACCTAACCAGATAATCCCTTAAATGCCATGGGGCTTTTCCTGAAGTCAGAGATTAGAACTGTGAGGACTGCAAACAAATAAGGTTCTCCATTACAGGCTTTGAATATGGAGAAGCTCCTGTGGTAAGCCAGGAAATGTAATACCAGCCTTTGAGACTCTGAGCAGAGAATCCAGCCACATTGTGGCTAGACTGTTATTTCACCTTCAAAAGTGAAGTAACAAATGGGTGTTTTTTTCAGCTGCTAAATTAGAAAATCAATATAGTAATAAAATCAACTTATTGGGACATGCTTATTACTTCTTTTAAAGCAAGTATACTAGAATAGAATAATAAAATGGAAATAGAACTTTTTAGAGTCCATGACTTTTGGCAAAGTTAAATATTGTTTCATAAAAGTCTTGATTTCTGAGTGAGTTTGCCCTAGGTCACTATGTAAAATACATTTTAAAAATAAAAGACAGCAGCAGTATGCACAGCATGGCTCCATGGGGCTCAAGAGATTGCATGCTGCAGAGAATTAATATTATCACAGCAAGGTGTCAGGAAGCCTGGGATTGCACTGCTGTTCCATCACCAAGTAACTACATAAACTGTCTTATCCCTGAATCTGTCCTGGTTTCAGTTTCTTAATCCGTTAAACAAGAATGGATATATTTGTCTTTCTTAGTGGATATAATGATAATTAGGTAAAATTTTTAATGTACATTAATTTTCTTCAATTCCCCTGAGTGTTAAATAAATATAAGGTGTTATATGTATGTGTGTGTGTGTGTATGTATGTGTGTATATATATATATATATATATATATATATATGTACTACATATACTGGTACAAATAGCCAACTATTTGGAAAAATCTGGGTAAAATACGTATTATTTTAAAGATTTTATCTGGACATTTGTCTTATTGTAGCTCCAAATTAAACTGAAAATATTTTTTATAATACTGATTATAATATAGCATGGTCTCTTATCCCATTTAGATTAAAACTTTGCTACTTTTCTCTCTAAAATTATGCTTCACAAAAATTATTTCTTCTAAAAGTGGATTAAAGAATCCTGTAGTTCTAAGTTTTTCTTCACATCTGTGTACCACTTCACAGGTTTCAAATAATTTTATATACATCAAATCTCTATTGACTCTGCAAAGCTAGTTTTTATTTCCCAGTTTTACACATGGGAAATGTATAAATAAAGCTTAGACAAGTAAAGTGATTTGCTCAAGGTCCTATTATGAATGAGAAGCAGAGCCACAATTTGAACCCAAAACCTAAGATTTGGTTATGAGAGTGATTAAGAGTTAGTCTGCTTTAGTGATGTCACCAAAATAGTGGAATAGAAGCAATATTAGTTTTTACTCTTCCCACCCCTTCTGTCCCACAGGAAACCAAGTAAACTATCCAGTGCCAAGATTGTTTCCACCAATATCCCAGAATGTAAAAGTGAGGCTATGGCAATCCCTGGTGCCACAGGAAAATTTTAAAAAATGCGTGAAGAAGGTAAGAAAAACGAACTTGGGGTTGGAGAGAGATCCAAAATGGCTTATCACTAGCAGCTCAGGATTGTAGCTCCCAGTGAAAGCGCAGAGAACGAGAGGACATCACACTTTCAGATGAATTTTTGTTGCTCACGCACCAGGAGATTCCCAGCGGAGGAGCCCCATGAGTCGCCAGCGCAACTCTTGTGGTCGGCAAGGTGGTTTTGCTGCTGCCTTGGTGTGGCGGTTCTTGGTGCAGAGTCAGAAAACCACCATCAATCATAACGCTGTTGTTTTGGCTGGTGCAGTGGTTGCTCAGATTTTAGCACTGAGAATCAACAAGTTGGACATCCACTCAGAAACTCAATTATAAAGATGGTAATTATAAAGACCACAGATGGATAAATTTATAATGAAGGGAAGAAAGCAGCCTAAAAAGGCTGAGAATACCCAAAATCAGAATGCCTCTCCCTCTACAGGGGATCACAGTTCCTCATCAGCAATGGAACAAGGCCTAATGGAGAATGAGTGTGTTCCATTAACAGAAGCAGGTTTCAAAAGGTGGGTGATAAGAAACTTCTGTGAATTAAAAGAACTTGTTCTAACCCATTGCAACGAAACTAAGAGCTTTGAAAAAAGATTTGACAAAATCTTAACAAGAATACACAATTTAGAGAGGAATATAAGTGAATTAATGGAGCTGAAAAACACAACACGAGAACTTTGCGAACTATGCACAAGTTTTAACAGCCGAATTGATCAAGCAGAAGAAAAGATATCAGAAGTCAAAGACCAACTTAATGAAATAAAATGAGAAGACAAGATTAGAGAAAAAAGGATAAAAGGAACAAGCGAAGTCTCCAAGAAATATGGGACTATGTGAAAAGATCCAATCTACGCTTGATAGGTGTACCTGAGTGTAACGAAGAGAATCAACCCAACCTGGAAAATATGCTTCAGGATATTATTCAGGAAAACTTTCCCAACCTAGCAAGGCAGGACAATATTCAACTCCAGGTAATACAGAGAACACCACAAAGATATTCCTCAAGAAGACCAGCCTCAAGGCACATAATCGTCAGATTCACCAGGGTTGAAATGAAGCAGAAAATACTGAGGGCAGCCAGAGAGAAAGGTCAGGTTACCCATAAAGGGAAGCCTATCAGACGCACAGCAGATCTCTCTGCAGAAACCCTGCAAGCCAGAAGAGAGTGGGGGCCAATATTCAACATCCTTAAAGAAAAGAACTTTCAACCCAGAATTTTACATCCAGCCAAACTAAGCTTCATAAGCGAAGGAAAAATAAAATCTTTTGTGAACAAGCAAGCACTCAGGGATTTCATCACCACCAGGCCTGCTTTACAAGAGCTTCTGAAAGAACGACTACACATAGAAAGGAACAACCAGTATCAGCCTTTCTAAAAAATACCAAAAAGTAAAGAGCATCAATATAATCAAGAATTTACATCAACTAATAGGAAATTCAGCCAGCTAACATTAAATGGCGCTATTAAACTCATATATATTATTATTAATTCTAAACTTACATCGACTAAATCCCCCAATCCAAAGACACAGACGGGCAAAAAAAGCCAAAACCCATCGGTACGCTGCATCCAAACCCATGTCACATGCAAGGATACACAAAGACTCAAAACAAAGGGATGGAGAAAGATTTACCAAACAAATGGAGAGCAAAAATAAATAAATGAATAAAAAGCAGGAGTTGCTTTAAAGCAACAAAGATCAAAAGAAGCAAAGAAGGATATTACATAATGATAAAAGGATCAATGCAACAAGAAGAGCTAAAGATCCTAAATATATACGCACCCAATACAGGAATACCCAGATATATAAGACTTATAAAGAGACTTAGACTCCCACACAATAATAGTGAGAGACTTCAACATCAATATTAGATCAATGAGACAGAAAATTAACAACAATATCCAGGATTTGAACACAGATCCGGAACAAGTAAACTTAATAACATTTATAGAACTCTCCACATTAAATACACAAATTATACACTCTTATCAGTACCACATCACATCTATTTACAGGTTTCAATGAAATACTGGTTGGCTGCTTGTTTGTTATTTTCTTCCCTCATTTTTTTTTTTCATGTCTCTATTATTAAGCACAATTATAGGCATACCCATTTTTAGACTGCATTCTAGCCTGGGCAATAAAGCAACACCACCATTCTCTCTCTCTCTTCCTCTTTCTCTTTCTTTCTCTCCTTCTTCTTTTTTCTTTCTTTCTTTCTTCTTTTTTTTTTTTTTTAGAAAAAACAAAAAAAGAGAGTGGTACTCCTCTTTGGCAGCTCTCTTTGGTCATAAGCCTTTCCTGCCACCTTCAGCACATGTTCATGTCAAAAAGAAATTGTCTTAAGAGACAGCCCATGCAGAAAAATTCTTGGCGTTTGAGAGAAAGCTCCAGGTACCAAATTGGAGCCCAGATTGTAAGGGACAGTGACTAATAGCTTTGTAGTTAACCAGTCCCAAGTTCAAATACTAGTTCTTACAGTCTCCAGAAGTACATGCTAAGGAAATAAAAATACCTCTTTATCTCCAGCAGTACATCCTGGGAAAATAAAAATACCTCTCTAAGCCTTAGTTTTCTCATCAAAAAAAAATAATAATAATAATGCTACAAAAATTTGGTGAGAGATGGCAATATAAAACATATAAAAGGAGAAAATAAAAAGTCAAAATGCGAAGGGCATTGAGTTAAAGCATTTTTTGTTTCCTTGTTTCTATTTTTTTTTTGTAGTGATTAATGTTAATTTGTATTCTACTTACCTTATTATAAGATGCATCTTTTTCAACTTTTATTTTAGGTTCAGGGGTACATGTGTAGGTTTGTCATATGGGTAAATTGGGTGTTGTGGGCGTTTGGTGCACAGACTACTTCATCACTCCAGTAATAAGCATAGTACCCAATAGGCAGTTTTTGATTCTCATCCTCCACTTTCAAGTAGGCTCTGATGTCTGTTGTTCCCTTCTGTTTATACGTATTCAATGTTTAGCTCCCATTTAAAGTGAGAACGTGCGGTATTTGACTTTCTGTTGCTGAATTAGTTTACTTATAATAATGCTCTCCAGCTCCATGCATGTTGCTACAAAGAATATTATTTCATTTTGAAGGCTACGTAGTATTCCATTATGTATATGTATCACACTTTCTTTATCCTGCCTACTATTGATAGACATTTTGGTTGATTCCATGTCTTTGCTATAGTGAATAGTACTGCAATAAACAAATGTGTCATGTTTCTTTATGGCGGAGCATAACTGCTCTGAGCATGTGATCTGGTTCAAATAATCACTCTGTTTTATGTCTTTTGTGAAGTGACCAAACTGCTTTCTACAAGACTGAACTAATTTACATTCCCACCAGCAGTATATAAATGTTCATTTTTGTCCACAATCTCATCACAACTTGTTAATTTTTGACTTTTAACTATAGCCATCCTGACTGTTGTGAGATGGTATCATATTTTGGCTTTGATTTGCATTTCTCTAACGAATAGAGATGTTGAGAATTTTTTCATATATTTGTTGCCTGCGAGTATGTCTTCTTTTAAGAAGTGTCTGTTCATGTCTTTTGCCCATTTTTTAATATGATTGTTTTATTGCTTGTAAATCTGTTTAAGTTCTTTATAGATTCTGGATATTATACCTTTGTCAGATGCATAGTTTGAAAATATTTTCTCCCATTCTATAGATTGTCTGTTTACCTTGTTGATATTTTCTTTTGCTGTGCAGAAGTTCTTCAGTTGAATTAGGTCCCATTTGTTTATTATTATTATTACTATTATTGTAATTCCTTTTGGCATCTCCATCATAAAATACTTGTCAAGTCTTATGTCCAGAATAGTATTTTCTAGATTATCTTTGAAAAATTTTATAGTTTTAGATTTTACATTAATACATTGTGGTGGTTAATATTGAGTGTGCCAACTTGATTGAAGGATACAAAGTATTGTTCCTGGGTATGTCTGTGAGGATGTTGCCAAAGGAGATTAACATTTGAGTTAGTGGACTGGGAAAGGCAGACCCACCCTCAACCTGAGTGGGCACAATCTAATCAGCTGCCAGCAAAGCCAGAATAAAAAGCAGGCAGAAGAACATGGAAAGACTAGACTGGCTGAATCTTGTAGCCTCCATCTTTCTCCCGTGCTGAATACTTTCTGCCCTCAAACATCAGAGTCCAAGTACTTAGGCTTTAGGACTCTTGGACATTTGAACACAGACTGAAGGCTGTGTTGTTGGCTTCTCTATTTTTGAGGTTTGGGTACTCAGACTGGCTTCCTTCCTCCTCAACTTGCAGGTAGCCTATTGAGGAATCTCATTTTGTTATTTTGTGAGTCAATACTTCTTAATAAACTCCACTTTATATATACATCCATCCTATTAGTTCTCTCACTCTAGAGAAGGCTAATACATCCATCTGGAGTTGATTTTTTTATGTGGTTTAAGGAACTTATCCACTTTGAATCTTCTGCATATGGCTAGCCAATTATTCTAGCACTATTTTATTGAAGAGTCATTTCTCCATGATTGTTTTTGTTAGATAATTTTAGGTGAACAGAATTATTTCAAGGTATTCTATATTCTGTTTCATTAATGTATGTGTCTATTTTTGTATGAGTACTGTGCTACAAATTTACATTACATTAGTCCATTATATTAACATTAGTCTATTTACATTCAGTGTTATTGATCAGTAAAGACTTACTTTTGCCATTTGTTTTCTGCTTTTCTTTTCTTGCTGTTCTCTTCTTTCTTTCTTTCCTGTCATCTTTTAGCAAAGGTAATTTCTTTGGTAATATTATTTAATTTCTTCCTTTTTATTTATTGTGTATACATTTTGTTTTTTGATTTGAGGTTACCAGGAGGCTTGTGAATAGTATCTTATAACTCATTATTTTAACCTGATAAGAGCTTAACATTGTTTCCATAAACAAGCAAGCAAGAAAAGAGAAAAATAATTTTTAAAAATCTACATCTCAAATACGTCCTCCAGCTTTTTAACATTTGTTATTTCTATTTATGTTATTGTACTGTCTATGTCTTGAAAAGTTGTTGTACTTACTAGTTTTCATTGGTTAATCATTTAGTCTTTGTATTTAGGATGAGTTGTTTATACATCACAGTTTCAGTGTGATAATATTGTGTTTTTCTGTTTACTTACTATTACCAGTAAGTTTTTACCTTTAAGTGATTACTTAATGCTCATAATAAAATTTCTTTATGTGTGAAGTGCTCCC